GACTGGACACATTCACGGAAGAGAAGGTGACCAAGGGATCCTGGCCCCAATGGCTCGCTCAGCCTCAACAGCTGGAGGCAGCGATGCTTCTGGGTACCAGTGGCTGGAAACCACAAGAGGGGAGAAGATGCTTGCTGGTTTCCTACAGGCATGTGGGAACAGGATAGAACCACAAAATCATAGAGTTCAGCCCGGACACTGAGGTCCAGCTCCGAGGGCCTTCTCGGTTCCCTCACTGTGAGATGTGAGGTTACAGGGAACCAGGCAGAGGGCCTTCTCGGTGGTGGCGCCCGCACTGCGGAACACCCTTCCATCAGATGTCAAGGAAATAAGCAATTATCTGACTTTTAGAAGACATCTGAAGGCAGCCCTCTTTAGGGAAGTTTTTAATGTTTGATGTTTTATTCTGTTTTTAATCTGTTTGGGAGCCGCCCACAGTGGCTGGGGAAACCCAGCCAGATGGGCGGGGTATTAATTTTTTTATTATTATTATTATTATTATTATTATTATTAAAGCCTAAATCTCTCTCCATTCCACCAATATTGCCAAAGCTGAACCGTTAGGTAGAAAAAGCTTCTCCCTATTATTATTATTATTATTATTATTATTATTATTATTAAGTTGAAAGGGACCGCCAAGCTCCTGCAATGGCGGAATCTTAACTCTCAACTACCCTGATTTAGCAGGGCTTTTCTTATTTTCTGATGCCTGTTCTCATTTTATTGGCAGACATCCCACATGCTTTGTGTATGTTCTTTGCAGGAGCATGTGAGAACTAAGAAGACACCTGCAGGGTCCTATCCATCTGCCTCAGCATCTTCTGTCCAACGGGGCCCTTGAGATGCTTTCAGAAGGCTCCTTGTCAGGTAACAAACCCCTGCCTTTCGTTTTCTCCCCTGCATGCGGCATTTATATGGTTTGATTCAGAGGTTGAGGCTAATGCCCACGGATGGATTTGTCTTTGGTGAATTTGCCGAGTTGCGTCTTAAAACCTCCTAAAGCGTCGCCTCACCTTGGGGCAGCAAATCCCATCAATTCTGCTCTGCAGGCAAAAGACAGGACAATGCCAGGACCTCATTCTGTGTGCCAAAGCCGACCGGGCTGGCAGCTGAACCTGACTTCAGCACAGGTGATGGGACAGCATCCTGTGCCGTACCTGAGGCCAGCCAGGTGGCTTAGGGAGCCGGGGGCAGCCTGCGTAGCACACCAGGCGAATACCCAACTCCCTCAACCCTTCCTCATAAGGCTTGGTTGCCGGTGTTGGGATCGTCCTACTCTCGTGTAGGACCCTGGCAGAGACACATGCCCGACTGGCAAGTTCTCTCCCTCCTGGTCTGTCGCTCGGGAGCTTCAAAAGCGTTTTTCAGCCCAAACATCACAGCCACTGATACCAAGAAGCATCAGCCCACTTAGGATCCTGCAGAGTATTTGCAGTTTGCGGAACAGAACTCAGTAGCACAGCATTTTGGCTAATCTACTTTATTTACATATAATACACTCGGAGCATTCTGACTTAGCTCCTTCCTCTTTCTCATCAGACAGCAAAGAGAGAAAGAACAAAGGACAAGAGTCCCACTTCACGGAACACAGTAACACAAACATCCTGTCTCCGTCACTTCCCGCTCTGTGGAATGAAAACATACACCGTCATGTGATAGACAACAATCCCATGACTGCAAACACGGAGCAGGGAATCCTAACAAACTGGAACGTGTCCAGAGGAGGGCAACCAAAATGGTCAAAGGCCTGGAAACGATGCCTTATGAGGAACGGCTAAGGGAGCTGGGCATGTTTAGCCTGGAGAAGAGGAGGTTAAGGGGTGATATGATAGCCATGTTCAAATATATAAAAGGATGTCATATAGAGGAGGGAGAAAGGTTGTTTTCTGCTGCTCCAGAGAAGCGGACACGGAGCAATGGATCGAAACTACAAGAAAGAAGATTCCACCTAAACATTAGGAAGAACTTCCTGACAGTAAGAGCTGTTCGACAGTGGAATTTGCTGCCAAGGAGTGTGGTGGAGTCTCCTTCTTTGGAGGTCTTTAAGCAGAGGCTTGACAACCATATGTCAGGAGTGCTCTGATGGTGTTTCCTGCTTGGCAGGGGGTTGGACTCGATGGCCCTTGGGGTCTCTTCCAACTCTATGATTCTATGATTCTAACAGCCGGACCCTTTGCTTGGCTGAAGTGTTGCCTTCCCTCCCAGGACTGTTGTCCTAAGTCAGGCATGTCCAAAGTCTGGCCCGGGGGCCATTTGCGGCCCAGGGCCTGGTTTAAACAGGCCCCACAGGCAATTTGGAAAAAATCAATCTGGAATCAATCAATCCCGAGCACCTGCCTGCTGTTCTGCTCGCTCTCCCCTGGAGCCAACACTCTGCCAAGGAAGGTTAGAGGCAGGCAGGGCGGGCTGCGATTGGTGCGTCTCCGGTGGTGGCACTGCGTGATTGGTCCTCGGGAGCCACCCGTTGTTCACCTCTCACTCCCGCCCATCGTTTCCGCTATTCCAAAAGGCATTTCTTAAGGATTGTGAGACCCTGCATTGTCCTCAAGATCTTTGGGGGAACAATCCTAAAACCATAGCTGTCAACTTACAGATTTGAAAATAAGGGACCAGCAGCCTCAGAAATAAGGGATCAGCAGCCAAAATAAGGGATTTTCCAAGCACAGGTATGTTCAGCTTCTGAGCCCCTCCGAGCCAAAGGCAGAAAGCCCAGCCAGCAGCCAAACGAAGCCTCAAGCGGTGGTTCCCACAGCGCAGCAACCCGGCAAAGGGGATGCAGGAAGGAAAACCACCGTCACCTCTCCGCTGGGAAGCGCTGAGCAAAGGCGAGTCCCCAGGCAACGCGGCCGATTTGATTGACACAAGGCATGCAAGCTCCACCCCCCAGTCGTTCTCAGACTCCTTATTGGGTGAGCAACACAGCCAAGCAACACAGTTGGAGCCTCCCTCCTCCCTGGCCGGCAGGAAGGGAGGGAGAGGAGCTGCTTCCTTTGAAACCCGGGAAATTTAAGGGACATCATCAATAAGGGACAGCAGCTGGACATGGCGCTGGGATAAGGGACTTTCCCGCCAAATAAGGGACGCTTGACAGCTATGCCTAAAACATGGTCAAGAACTTCAATCCTAAAAAAAGGGAAAAGGTCAACAACTCTGGGGGAACAATTAAATAATGTCAGGCAAAATGATCGGCCCTCACGCATGTTCACTTCATCACATCTGGCCCTCTTTGGAAAAGTTTGGACACCCCGTGTCCTAAGTGACATTGTGTTATAAACACAGCTAATATGGAGAAGGAAGAAGGATAGCCAGCCACATATGACACGTTATGCTTTATTTCAACATGATGGAGTTTATCCAGCTCTTCCATCGCTCTAGAATAAGGAGCATCTCCAAGCACATAAGTCAGGAAAATACAGAGCTATTCTTGGAGAGAGAGAGAGAGACAGAGACTCAATCAACAAGGACAAAGCATTGTCGTTCCCCCAAATACCCAGTTTCTTTTTCATTTGTGACATGTAAGATTTCAGTGGTTAAAATAATGAAGGCAGTTCAAGAGAAAATACGACGTTGCAGGAAGCAATACTTCAAAGCTGAGGGAAACTGGCACCATCTGGAAAGAAGAGTCACAGGACACCTGCTCTGCATGCAGAAGGCCCCAAGCTTCAGTCTCCGAAACAAAAGACACAGTTCAGAGTTGGAAGAATCAGGGATGGTCTTTGTCCCCACGTAAAGCAGCTTTAAAGAGGGAGTGAGCTGCGATTCCTGCACTGCAGGGGGTTGGACTAGATGACCGGGTGGGTTCCCCCTTCCAACGCTACAATTCTATGATTCTAAGGAGAGGAGAGGGGAAGCGGAGAATGAGAACAGGGCTGAGAGCCAGAGAGAGAGAGGCTGTCGAAAGAAGGCAAGGCAGATTCCTAAGATTCCACATGGTGCCTGTCATGGTCGTAAGCTGTTTACCAGATAGACAGAACTTGCTGCGGGGGCAGTCTCTCTCTCTCTCTCCCCCACATGAGGCAGTGATATGGTCACTTTAAAAGATGATGAGACAAATTCGTGGGGAGGAGAGAGCTCCTTACCTTTTCCGCCCTGACCTGGCCACAGTGATCCATGCGAAGGTCACCTCCAGGCTTGACTACTGTTATTCGCTCTACGCGGGGCTGCCCTTAAAACTGTCCCAGAAACTCCAGCGGGTGCAGAATGCTGCAGTGAGGCTCCTCACGGGGTCTCTGCCATGGGAGCATATTCACCCAGTGCTTTACCAGTTGCACTGGCTCCTGGTGGAGTATTGGGTCAGGTTCAAGGTGCAGGTCTTGACCTTTAAAGCCCTTTGTGGCCTAGGACCCTCGTATTTATGGGACCACCTCTCCTGGTCTGCCCCTTCATGGACCTTAAGGTCCATGAATAATCATAGTTTAGTGGTCCTGGCCCCTTAGGAAGTCAGACTATCCTCCACCAGGGCCAGGGCCTTCTCAGTGGTGGCTCCAACCTGGTAGAATGCTCTGTCCCATGAGACCAGGGCCCTGCAGGATTTAACTTCCTTTCGCCGGGCCTGTAAGACAGAGCTATTCCACCTGGCTTTCAGCTTGAACTTAGCCTGATCTTTTATTCCCCTTCCTTCCCTCCCTCTCCCATTTTTATGAAGATCACCCGCTCTGGGACCCCACAGCTAATTCTCCCCTGGTCTCCTCGCTGGCCCAAATAGGACTAATTTAGCCAGCTAGCCCTGGGGATCATCTAATGTTTATTGGATGGATTCCCCCCTAAATTGATTTTTGAATTCTGAATTTATCGTTATTCACGTTTTATACTGTATTTGATGCTGTTTTTTGTTGCATCAATTAACTGTTTTAAATTTGCTGTTGGCTGCCCTGTGCCTGGTTTTCTGAACTGGGAAGGGCAGGGTATAAATAAATAAAAATTTATTATTTATTTACTGGTCTTGATGGCTGGGCTCGGCTTCCACAGTTGGAGGCAGGGATGCTTTCTGGGTACCAGTTGCTGCAAACGCAGGAGAAGAAAGGGCTCTTGGGGTCAGATCCTGCTTGCAAGGTTTCCACAGGCATCTGGTTGTCCCCTGGGAGAAGGCAATGCTGGACTCAAGGAGCTATTGGCCTAACCCAGTAGGCTCCTCTTAATGCAATTACCTGCAATTGCTGCTCTGAAGCATTTCTGGGTGGCTCCACATGAGAAAATCCCCACCAGCAGGACCCAGATGGGGAGAACCTTAGGAAGGAAATGCCAGCCAGGAGGTTGCACTTGGATCGTAATGATGGGGAAGAATCACAGCTGTCAACGTTTCCCTTTTTAAAGGGAAATTCCCTTATTCCGAATAGGATCGCTCACAAGAAAAGGGAAAAGTTGACAGCTATGGGAAGGATACTAACTTTAGCAGAGGTCCTGAGCTGACCTGAGATGGGGGACCAGTAACCAGGTGAAAATGGGTTGTGTGTGTGTGTGTGTGTGTGTGTGTGTGTGTGTAAATAAGAAGCTTTGCTTATTAATGCTGCTCCAGAGTCAACAACACCACCTTGCTATTTTGCTGCACTGCATACTAATAGCCCTCATTAGGTTGACAGACTCCCAAAAGTCTTTTTTTTTAAAAAAAGTGGCATGCAAATGAAATTGTTATATACATATAAACAAACAAGCAGACAAACAGACAAAAAAACCACTTTCTGTTCCCTTATTCAGGAGAGCAGAGCGTCAGCTGGAAGGAAGTCTGGTCTAGTGGGCAGATCCTGCTATAATGAGAACTGGAGGCATGTTTCTTCTGCTTTTGTTTTAGGAGGCCTGTTTCTGAATTGCAAAGTCCCTGGGAGTGGCGGTGGGACTTGCGGAAGTGCCTTTGGCAGTGGGAGATGTTCTGCGGAGGGCGTCCACCAGGGCGGGCAAACCTGTAGGGGGAAAGTCATGGGGGGGGGGGAAGAGAAAAGAAACCCATAAGAGGAGCCTTGTAGCTGGATCAAAGAGCTCCCAAACAGCTTGAACAGCTCTTGCTGGAAGTCACAGGAGATGAGAAGAGGGCTTTTGTGCCCAGGTCCTCCTTCAAGGTTGGCCACTGCTGAGAACAGGATGCTGGACTGCATGGACCATGGGCCTGATCCAGCCAGGCTCCTCTGATGCTCTAATCAGGCCCAAGGCACATCTGGTCCACCATTCTGTTCTCATGGGGGTCAACCAAGACGTCCCATTGCAAAGCCCCCAAGCTGGACATGCGCACAGCCTCCTCCCAGTTAGAACTTTTCCAGCTGGAATAAGGAAGTTTGAGGGCCTCTCTTGTCTGTTTTCTTTAGCTTCTTGTGGGTGTGCCCTGCAATGTGGAAGCCCTGTTAGAATTCCTGCTCCATGTTTGCAGTCATGGGATTGTTGTCTTTCCCATGCCGGTGTATGTTTTGACTCCACAGAGTGGGAAGTGACTGAGAACGGATGTTTGGGTTACTGTGTTCCGTGAAGTGGGACTATTGTCCTTTGTTCTTTCTCTCTTTGCTGTCTGATGCTAGAGAGAGAGGGAGCCATGTTGCAGTGCTCTGTGTGTGTTTATATGTAAATAAAGTAAAGGTAAAGGGACCTCTGACCATTGGGTCCAGTCGTGGCCAACTGGGCTTATGTGCTCATCTCGCTTTATTGGCCGAGGGAGCCGGCGTACAGCTTCCGGGTCATGTGGCCAGCATGACTAAGCCACTTCTGGCGAACCAGAGCAGCACACGGAAACGGCGTTTACCTCCCTGCTGCAGCGGTACCTATTTATCTACTTGCACTTTGACGTGCTTTCGAACTGCTAGACTGGCAGGAGCAGGGACCGAGCAACGGGAGCTCACCCCGTTGTGGGGATTCGAACCGCCGACCTTCTGATCGGCAAGTCCTAGGCTCTGTGGTTTAACCCATAGCGCCACCCGCATCCCTGTAAAAAAAGTAGATTAGCCAAAGTGCTGAGTAGCAACTCAGCACTTTGGTCTGGTCTGTCAGGCCAGCTGCGAAGACTCTGCGGATCCCTAAGTGTGCCGGTGTCTGTTGGCATCGGTCGCTGTGAAGTTCGGGCTGAAGAAAGCTTATGAAGCTCCCGAACGATCGACCAGGAGGGAGGGAACATGCCAGTCAGGTATGTGTCTCTGCCAGGGTCCTACTCAAGAGGAGGACGAGCTCCTGACCAGGCCATCTGTCATGGATGCTTTAGCTGAGATTCCCGCATCGCAGGGGGTTGGACTAGATGACCCTTGGGGTCCCCTCCATCTCTACACTTATATGATCCTATGAGTTCCCTCCCCAGGGCAAAGAAGGGAAGGTGCGTGAGAGCCTCACCCCTTGCAATGCTCTATGTGCTAAAGCACCCTTTGCCCACCCGGAGAGCGCCAGGGTTGTAAAGGCTGCCCTAAAGGAACGCGTAATATTTGTTACAACCATTCGCCCAAGTGCTTCCTGCATTCCTCACACCAGGAAGAGGTGAAATGCAAAAGGTTTATAAAATGATGCCTGGCGTGGACATTGTTGTAGGTGCCATCTATGCAGGGCCATGGGGGCCCAGGAACCCACAAATTTTCAGTGAAGGGGCAGGGCAGCCCCCAAAGTTCTACGAGGCAGTCTGCACCCTCTGGAACGGGGGCAAGGCAGCACACCTGGTCATTGTCATGCACTTTGGAACTCCCTGCCTCTTGACGCCTGATATCAATACCCAACTCCCCCAACTGTTCCTTGGTTTCTGTTCTTGGGGGACGGGGCGGGTGGGTGTGGAGGACTCCCTGGTCCTCAATGGGGTAACTGTGCCCCTGAAGGACCAGGTGCGCAGCCTGGGAGTCATTTTGGACTCACAGCTGTCCATGCAGGCGCAGGTTAATTCTGTGTCCAGGGCAGCTGTCTACCAGCTCCATCTGGTATGCAGGATGAGACCCTCCCTGCCCACAGACTGTCTCACCAGAATGGTGCATGCTCTGGTTATCTCCCGCTTGGACTACTGCAATGCGCTCTACGTGGGGCTACCTTTGAAGGTGACCCAGAAACTACAACTAATCCAGAATGCGACAGCTAGTCTGGTGACTGGGAGTGGCCACCAAGACCATATAACACATGTCCTGAAAGACTTACATTGGCTCCCAGTACATTTCCGAGTACAATTCAAAATGTTGGTCCTGACCTTTAAAGCCCTAAACAGCCTCGGTCCAGTACTGTATATCTGAAGGAGCGTCTCCACCTCCATCATTCTACCCAGACACTGCGGTCCAGCTCTGAGGGCCTTCTGGCGGTTCCCTCATTGCAAGAAACAAAGCTACAGGGAACCAGGCAGAGGGCCTTCTCGGTAGTGGCACCTGTCCTCTGGAATGCCCTCCCACCAGATGTCAAAGAGAACAACAACTACCAGACTTTTAGAAGACATCTGACGGCAGCCCTGTTTAGGGAAGCTTTTAATGTTTGATGTATTATGGTATTTTAATATTTTGTTGTAAGCTGCCCAGAGTGGCTGGGGAAATCCAGCCAGATGGGCGGGGTATACCGGTAAATAATAAATTATTATTATTATTATTATTATTATTATTATTATTATTATTGGCTTCTAGATTCTTGACCATCTTGGTCACCCTTCCCTTCATCGCTCCCCAGCTTGTCAACAGCCTTCTGAATTGGGCCAGAATTGGGCCAGAGGCAGATTTGGGGCAGTGTGACAGTCTCACTGGCAATGGGCTCTGATCTGAGAAGGGGCTCTTGGGGGGCCTGCAACAATGATGTAAAATGGAAGGCAAGAGGCAGCAGTGGGTGTGGGGGCTGAATTTTGGTGTCGCAAAGGGTGCCTCTGAAATCCGAAAGCCCCAAATCTGCCACTGACTGGACCCAGCACTCCAGGTGTGGTCTGACCAAGACAGAATAGATTGATACTATGAATTCCCTTGATCTGGACACTCAACTTCTGTGGGTGCAGCCTAGAATCGCATTAGCTTTTTCTGCCGCCGCATCACGCTGTTGGCTCATTTGAAGGATGCAGGGAAGAAACAGATACACAGAATAATTTCCAACCCCCTGGAAGCTGCCTATCTGTTGGAAGCCGCCCAGAGTGGCTGGGGCAATCCAGTCAGATGGACGGGATAATAATAATAATAATAATAATAATAATAATAATAATAATAGGCTGCAGCCAAGGAACAGGCCCTGCAAGTCCGCTTTTATCTTACCCACGTCTGCTAACCTCTGGTGTTGCTCAGACGGTTCACTCCGATCCGGTCAAGGGGAATTCCAAACCGCCTCTTCGGAATTTCCACAACTTTCCTGCGGAATGAGATGCAATTAATTGGGATATCCCAATGCCCCTTTGTTGCATATGCTCCATCCTAACCGCCCCCCAAGTGGTGCTCTCCAGATGTTTACAGCTCCCACCAGCCCCAGCCAGACAAGCCCTGCACCAAAACAATCAGGGGGCCGAGACGACTCTTCTGTGAGGAAGTTCTGTGTACAGATGCTTATAAAATTATTCATGGCCTGGGGGAAGTGAATAGAGAATGGTTTTCTCCCTCATGGTACTTGAACTCGTGAACGTCCAGCGAAGCCGAATGTTGGAAGGTTTAAGGTAAAGGTAAAGGGACCCCTGACCATTAGGTCCAGTCATGCCCGACTCTGGGGTTGCGGCGCTCATCTCGCTTTACTGGCCGATGGAGCCGGCGTACAGCTTCCAGGTCATGTGGCCAGCATGACGAAGCCGCTTCTGGCGAACCAGAGCAGCGCACGGAAACGCTGTTTACCTTCCCGCCAGAGCGGTACCTATTTATCTACTTGCACTTTGACGTGCTTTCGAACTGCTAGGTTGGCAGGAGCAGGGACCGAGCAATGGGAGCTCACCCCGTCGCGGGGATTTGAACCGCCAACCTTCTGATCGGTACTAGAACTCGTGTACACCCAGCGAAGCCGAATGTTGGAAGGTTTAGGGCAGAGAAAAGAAAGTCCTTCTTTACTCAGAGCATAGCTGAACCCTGGAACTCACTTCCACAGGAAGCAATGATGGCCAGTGACCTAGATATCCCTCCTGGCCATGAATTTATTCTTTCAAAACTATGGGTGCCTCCTAGCAAGCCTGGTTCTTCTCTGCCTCTACGGCTGGAGGCAGTGATGATTCTGAATCCCAGATGCTGGAAACCACAGGAGGGGAAGAGTGTTGCTCTTGTGTTCGAATCCTGCTTGCAGGTTTCTCATTTGGGGCCCTGGCTGGGACCTGTGAGAATAGGAGGCTAGACTAGATGGGCCGTGTGTCTGATCCATCAGCCTCTTCTTGCACTTTTATAAGCATTAGAACTAGTGCAATGAGGCCCACCTGGTGCAATGCTAGGATCCAGCATGTGCAAGACCTCTGTTTCTTTTGCAGGACCCTAGGACTTGCCGATCAGAAGGTCGGCGGTTCGAATCCCCGTGACGGGGTGAGCTCCCATTGCTCGGTCCCTGCTCCTGCCAATCTAGCAGTTTGAAAGCACGTCAAAGTGCAAGTAGATAAATAGGTACCACTGTGGGTTAAACCACAGAGCCTAGGACTTGCCGATCAGAAGGTCGGCGAATCCCCACAATGGGGTGAGCTCCCGTTGCTCGGTCCCTGCTCCTGCCAATCTAGCAGTTTGAAAGCACGTCAAAGTGCAAGTAGATAAATAGGTACCGCTCCGGCGGGAAGGTAAACGGCATTTCTGCTCTGGTTCGCCAGAAGCGGCTTAGTCCTGCTGGCCACATGACCCAGAAGCTGTACGCCGGCTCCCTCAGCCAGTAAAGCGAGATGAGTGCCACAACCCCGGAGTTGGTCACGACTGGACCTAATGGTCAGGGGTCCCTTTACAGTGGTGCCCCGCAAGACGAATGCCTCACAAGACGAAAAACACGCTAGACGAAAGGGTTTTCCGTTTTTTGAGTCGTTCCGCAAGACGAATTTCCCTATGGGCTTGCTTCGCAGGACGAAACGTCTTGCGAGTTCTTGCGAGTTTTTTCCTTTTTCTTAAAGCCACTAAGCCGTTAATATCCGCTAAGCTGCTAAGCCGTTAATAGCCGCTAAGCCGCTAAGCCGCTAATAGCCGTGCTTCGCAAGACGAAAAAACCACAAGACGAAGAGACTCGCGGAACGGATTAATTTCGTCTTGCGAGGCACCACTGTACCTTTAAAAGAACCAGAGTCTAACAAGTGACTATTGGAATTGGAACGCATTTGCCACTGTCGCTTTCAGAGCAAAGCTCATTGGCAGAGCGCTTTTGCTGGGGACGTCCTCCCTCTTGTGGCCATCTCAAGCTACAGCAAGGCTCAATCTTCACTTTATGCTTCTGAAACATGGACCACTTCTAAACGCCATCTCCAACTCCTCAAAAGATTCCATCAACCGGGTCTCTGAAAATTTTTACACAACACTTGGGAAGACAGGCGAACTAATGCCAGTGTACTGGAAGAAGCAAAGATCACCAGTGTTGAAGCAATGATTCTTCAACATCAACTTGGCTGGACTGGCCATGTTGTGCGGATGCCTGATGATCGTCTTCCAAAGCAACTACTCTATTACGAACTTAAAAATGGAAAGCGTAATGCTGGTGGTCAACAAAAGAGGTGTAAAGATCTCAAGGGAAAGCTAAAAAAATGTAATATAAACACCAACAATTGGGAAACACTGGCCTGTGAGCGCTCCAGTTGGAAAACAGCCTTTACCAAAGGTGTCATGGGCTTTGAAGACACTCGAACTCAGGACGCGAGGGAGAAATGTGCTAAGAGGAAGGCGTGCTTGGCAAACCCTCACCGTGATCAACTCCCGCCCGGGAACCAATGTCCCCACTGTGAAAGGACGTGTGGATCCAGAATTGGCCTCCACAGTCACTTACGGACTCAATGTTAAGACTGTGTTCATGGAAGACAATCTTACTCGGCTACGAGGGATCACCAAAGAAGAACAGCAAGACTCAATCTTGCTTATTGGTGCTGATGAGATCCACAGTTCTAAACAGCTGGAGGGCACCAGGTTGGGGAAGGTCGATGGAAAGCTTTCTGCTTCCTTTAACAAATCGCTACCTCCATTTGTGTTTTGAGTTTGACGCAAATTAATTTACGTACAGTGCAGAAGTGTGCGATGCATATTATTGCAAATTCGTTTTAGCATTGCAAGCCCCCTTCTGCTTGTCCCCTGCCTGGAAGACACGGGTCTGAGCTCCTTCCCACTAGTCCCATGCTTCCTAGGCACAGTGGCCTTGCCTTTGCCCTGCTTCTCTTCCCACCCACCAAAACCCGCTCTTTAGCGCTAAATTGGAACAAACAGCAGTCCGCGGAAAACATGATTGCCATTTGTTCCGATTCAACACTAAACCGTAGGTTTCCTGGGGGGAAGCAGCAGAGCAAGTGGAGGTGGGAGTCCTTCGTTGTACACACATTTTGCTTACAAAACTACCGGCATCCATAAGGGAGTGCAATGTAAGCATGTGCAGAGTTCTTTCTGCACATAGAAAGCAACCTTTGGGTCTCTTCTGCAGTTCCATGACTCTGAGATCCAGTTCTTCCTCACTCCTCACCTCTGCTTGGCTTTCAGGTCCAGGGAACCGGCCGAGAGCCTGTCGAGAGGGGAGCCAAACCCCGAGAAACTCCGCTTCTTTTTCGTCTCGATGACATCATTTTCGAGGGACACCAGCTCGTCGAAGAGGAGAAGCTTTGCGACCAAGTCAGCAGCTGGCTTCTCCTGGCCAGACAGGGACAGGCGACCCTCGCCCAGGGGAGAGGAAGGAGCCGAAGGCTGCTGCAAAGGAGAAAAGAATGATCTTCCAGCTATTATTTATGGATTACTTTAATTATCAATATCATTAACTGAGTCTACACTTTGGAACTCCCTGCCTATTGATGTCAGGTAGGTACCTTAACTGTTCTATTTTTGGCATCTGCCAAAAAATGTTCTCTTGCCAACCCCTCTTGTGTCCCTGTACCAATAATCTAGGAACTTTCACCATTTCACAACTAAGCTAAGTTTTACTGCCTGTGCAGCTTTTTCTGAAAGCTTTATGGAAAAGCCCATGAACCTGACCTCTGGAGAGTTTGTGAGTATACTGGTAGCTCTACTTAAGTATTTGATCTGTTCTGGGGTGCCGTTCGCACCCCGAAAAGTCTGTAACTAGACCGCCGCTTCTGCACACACACGTGACGCGATAGAGTTCTTCTGCGCATGCGTGAAGCGCGCAGAATGCTTCTGCAAATGTATTATGCACGCAGAACACTTCTGCACATGTATGCACGGCGAAACCCGGAAGTATACACTTCTGGGTTTGCTGCATTCACAAACTGAAAAGACGCAACATGAACCTAACGCAACATGAGGTATGACTGTAAACCATTTTTTTAACTTACCAGAGGTGTGGTCTTTTTCCAGTACTGGGGAAAGTGTGAAACTTTGGAAAGAAACTGGAACTACAGTCATACCTCGGGTTACAGATGCTTCAGGTTGTGTTTTTTTTGGGTTACGGACTGCCAGAACCCGGAAGTACCGGAACGGGTTACTTCCAGGTTTCGGCGGTCGCGCATGCGCAGAAGCACTGAATCACAGCCCACGCGTGCGCAGATGCACCACTGTGGGTTGCAAACGCTGCAGGTTGAGAACGTGCATCCCACACGGATCACGTTCACAACCTGAATGTTCACTGTACCTTGCAAGGGCACATTTTAAAGGTTTTAGAACCTCTATTTCCACACTTGACTTTGCTGCATATTTTGCGCAGTCATGGGCTGTGCTTTTCTTCTAGAAAGAAAGGTGCTGGTACCGCGTGCCCTTGAGTAGCCCCAGAAGAAAAAGTACTGGATTGGCATGATCCAGGAGGTTCTTACATCCTTAACATAACTCTCTGCCATGGACTGGCTGGATTTGGAGGAGTGCTGCGAGGCACCAGCCGGGGAACCCCCAAAGGAATCCCCAAGTGAAGAGTCAAGGGACAGGTGGTGGGCCGACAATGGATGGTCAGAGAGAGAAGACAGGGAGGAGGAGGTGTTGAAAGCTGAAGAGGTAACAGGTCTGAGTGAGCAGGAAGAGGCTGTGGCAGAGGGCAGCCCAGAACCAGAGGCAGAAGCGGAGGCTGGAGAGGAGCAGGGACAGAGGGAGCCATGAGGCAGGATGCTGAGGGAGCCAGGGAGGTCCCCCCTCCTGCTGTAACCAAGAATGCGTAGAGAAATGAAAAGAGCAGAACAGTTGTGCGCAGATGCCGTTTGAGACTGAGTGGGGAAAACCTGGAGGGGAAGAGCTTAGAGAGGGATAGGAAGGCAGGGAGCTTGAGTCCTTGCAACCATGTCATTGGGGCAAGACCTCCTGGGAAAGTGACTGTAATATACCTTGAGTACCCAAAGAAAATTGACTAAGCCTGAATGCACCCATATCGATATCGGGATTACAAACGGGTATAAATAGAATAACTATACAGACCTTTGCCAACAAAGGTCTGTATAGTTCAAGCTATGGTTTTCCTAGTAGTGATGTATGGAAGTGAGAGCTGGACCATCAAGAAGGCTGATCGCTGAAGAATGGATGCTTTTGAATTCTGGTGCTGGAGAAGACTCTTGAGAGTCCCATGGACTGCAAGAAGATCAAACCTCTCCATGCTGAAGGAAATCAGCCCTGAGTGCTCACTGGAAGGACAGATCCTGAAGCTGAGGCTCCAAGACTTTGGCCACCTCATGAGAAGAGAAGACTCCCTGGAAAAGACCCTGATGTTGGGAAAGATGGAGGGCTCAAGGAGAAGGGGACGACAGAGGACGAGATGGTTGGACAGTGTTCTCGAAGCTACCAGCATGAGTTTGACCAAACTGTGGGAGGCAGTGGAAGACAGGAGTGCCTGGCGTGCTCTGGTCCAGGGGGTCATGAAGAGGCGGACATGACTAAACGACTAAACAACAACAACAACATAAATAGAATGAAGAACTGGGGTCAGATGGACTGAATGGGGGTCAGATCGGCAATTTATTATAAAAAGTTCCAGGGTGCACTTATTGAACCGCTTAAGGACACCATGAATTTTGGTGACTGGAGTAATTCCCGCGTCATTTATTACCCTGATCCCTAAGCAAGATGGTGACTTAACAAAGACAAAAAAATTACAGACCTATTTCTTTATTGAACTGTGATCCTAAAGTATTTGCTACAATTATAGCTAACAGACTAAAAAAGACACTGACTGAGTGAGTCCACAGAGACCAAGTTGGGTTCTCACCAGGCTGACAAACGAAGGACAATATAAGAAATGTAATTAACCTAATAGAGTCTTTGGAAGTGAGAAATGAAAAACAGGCCGCATTAATATTTTTAGATGTGGAGAAAGCCTTGGTCATTTTTGATTAAGGTATTAGAGAAAAAGGACATAGGTAATGCTTTCCTGGCTGGAATTAAGGTGATCTATATTGATCAATCCGCAAATACTTTAATAAAAAAAAGGGTTGTGTGGACTTGAGCTGTATTTGGGTTTAGTTGAGTAAAGAGTTTACTTCACTGGCATCGGAGACTTATGACTTCAGTGCTGACCTGGCACCACCTGAGCTACTGACAACTTTCTCCTCTTCCAGGAATTTGCCTGTTCCTCTTTTAAAGCCACTTTTGTCCTTGCCTCTAGCATAGAGGAAGAAGGAGGATTGATGGCAGTAAAACTCTTCTTTTGGTCTTTTCAAACTGCTTTTAAGAGCATTTAAAAAGAGAGACAGAGATTTTAACTCTGACCGCTCGAGGGCGCTTTGAAATAAGAAATCCCAGCCATAGGAGAACATCTTCAGTGCAGAAATCTGGGCTTGCCAGAAACAATTGGGCCTTTTTTGAGATCACCACTTACCTCTTGCAATGCCGCTACCTGGAAAGTTGTCCTGGATTGCCACTGGAAGAGGGTGATGGCCAAGACGAGGTACCCAGCCGCTCGCTGGCAACGCAGCATCTGCAAAAGAAAGCAGCGCCACAGTCCTTTGCCCGGTCCAGTCCCACACAGCTGGGTGCCCACTCCAAGCAGGGGGAAGTTCAAGGTGCGTATTTATTGACTCAGGTATTATCAGCTACACTTGCACAGTGTTGCAGGAATTTATGTATAGGTTGGGGGGGTTGCCCCTCCAGCGGATATCATGCACATGCAGCCCACTACCAAAATCAGCACAATCGCTTTTGTGACTTTTGTGATTTGTCACCACAAAACACTTCACCACAGTTTCTTCCCATCTATTCAAAGGGCCTTTGCTGCACGATACCAAATGTAAGAATTCACTGATCAATGTATCTCTGTACTGGCTCACTGGGAAAACTTCAGAAATTCCTATAGACATGTGAGCTCAGCTCCTCAGCAGCCCCTCTGCCTGAGTGATAATCCCTGGCATCCTGATATCTGAGGGCCAGACGGGTAGCCATTCCAGAAATACCAAACCCAGATGAAGACAAAAGGGTGCGATTAACTTGGCTGGGAAACAGGGAAATGTAAATATCTCTTTTGTTACACTTGATGGGTGTTTGGTGGAGGGCAAGGAGAACCATGGGGCAGGGTCCAGGATGCTCAGATTACTGCCACCAGACCTCCCCTTTCATGATGTAACCATGGTGTATGAGTGATGTAGTTTTTTGGGGGTGTAACATGGGGGTTAGTAGCTAATAGAAGTTTCGGTTCTCTTTTGTTCTGGGCTTCCATCTTGTTCCACCTGGTGGCAGGTGGGAGTCCTGTCACGACAGTCTTCAATAAAGACCAAGCCTACTGGCTGCTGTTTTGCTCTGGTATTCCTGGCTGCTGACCTTGTTTTTTTTTTTTTTGTCCAAGGGAGCCCTCAGATTTCTCCGTTAACAGTGGCAACCATCAAAAGAAGAAAGTGCCATATTTTAAAATGCAATGTCAATAAAATAGAAATTTCTCCTTTTGGGTGGAGGAAGCGGGGGGAAAAAACTAACAATATGGTAAACCAGAAACAGTAACGGAAGAAGTAGAGATTATAACTTTAGAAAATCCAAGCTGTTTAAAATGCCTGGGTGAATAAAATGGTCTTCAAAGAGATGAGCTTTGCAGAAATTAAAGAGGAGAAAGGAGAAAGCAACTAAAGGTTAGGAAGAACTTTCTGGAGGTAAGAGACCCCAAGGAAGGTGGTGAACTCTCCTTCATTGGTGGTGCTTAAGCTGAGGTTGGGTGGCCATCTGTCATGGATGCTTGAGCTGAGATCCCTGCATTGCTAGATGACTCTTGGAGTTCCCTTCCAACTCTACAATTCGATGATGAAAATTCCTGGGTGAAGATCCTGGGATTCTTCAGCAGAGGAAGCCATGGAGAAAGAGGTTTCTCTCTGCCGATAAAATCTTAGATATCCCTCTGTAAATCTAGAACCCCACTGCTGTGTTTTAAATGTTACAAAACAACCATACACACTCGGAATATATTTGTAGATGCTGTGACATATTTAGTAAAGGCAAAGGGACCCCTGACCATTAGGTCCAGTCGTGGCCGACTCTGGGGTTGTGTCGCTCATCTCGCTTTACTGGCCGAGGGAGCCGGCGTCCAGCTTCCGGGTCATGTGACCAGCATGACTAAGCCGCTTCTGGCGAACCAGAGCAGCGCACGGAAACGCCGTTTACCTTCACGCCGGAGTGGTACCTATTTATCTACTTGCACTTTGACGTGCTTTCGAACTGCTAGGTTGGCAGGAGCAGGGACCGAGCAACGGGAGCTCACCCCGTCGCGGGGATTTGAACCGCCGACCTTCTGATCGGCAAGTCCTAGGCTCTGTGGTTTAACCCACAGCACCTTCTTTAAATCTAGAACCCCACTGCTGTGTTTTAAATGTCACAAAACAACCATACACACTCGGAATATATTTGTAGATGCTGAGACATATCTAAGGGTAGCCCAAAACCACCCCTGTAGTTTCTCCATCCCATTCAGGGGGTAACAAAATATGGGGAGGGAGGATCTTGGAACTTCTCGGTCCTGGTGTTCTGGCAGAACTCTTTTCAATGGTTATGGCATCCTAGAAATTTTGACCAGTGAGCCACGGCTGGCGTCCCTGTCCTCTGGCCCATGTTGCAGAGGCCGATGGGAACCAGACTCAGGTTGTTCATATACCCACAATGGCTGCGTTCTGCCCCCACAGTTGGAGGCGGCAATGCTTTTGAATCTCAGTTGCTGGAGACAGGGCCGGATTGAGGTTTGATGTGGCCCTCAGCTCCTGAAGGTCATGGGGCCCTTTCTATGTCCCGCTGTCCTTTGTCCACAACAAATGGTTGCTGTTTTTTGTGTTGAATGTATGCTGTATGGTTATTTATGGACCTCATAGGTATCTCAAGCCATTTGCACGTAACAAAATACGTATTTTATCAAAGTAACTGTTGAACTGAAATACAATTAAGAATAAGTATATACCAGTCCATGCAGAATGTAGGCACCCTATATATAGAAAGGAGCAAACCAGGGATATTTGAGTGAGCAGGCTAGCAGGCGGGGCTCAGGACTTACATCATAGGAGCCGACACAACAGAAAACACTCAAAAAATATGTTTTTTTCCAAGTAATTGTTGATCTGAAATACAATTAAGAAGAAGTATACCCCCCCCCAAGCTATATAGCTTATACGTAAATCCGGCACTGGCTAGAAACCAGAGGAGAGTGTTCCTCTCGTGCGTGGATCCTTCTTGTTTCTCACAGCAATCTTTGTCACAGTGAGAACAGGTTTGCAGAATCATGGTGCTGGAAGGGACCCCCGAGGGCCATCTAGTCCGCCCCCTGAAATGCAGGAATCTCAGCTCAAGCATCCCTGACAGACGGCAACCCGACCTCTGCTTAAAAAGCTCCAAGGAAGGTAGAGACCACCACCTCCCGAGGAAGTCTGTTGAACGGCTCTTACCATCAGAAAACCTTTAGTCTTAATCTCCCTTTTGGTAATGCAGTACTGGATCTGTCATGGGCCTCATCCTGCAGGCTCTTCTGATGTTCTTCTTTGCCTTCCTCTACAGCCCCTGGCAAAAGGGCAAATCTCAGCAACAGAGTATATCTGCTTTGCACTCCTGCGCCGCAGGGGGGGTTGGACTAGATGACCCTTGGAGGTCCCTTCCAACTCTACAATTCTACGATTCTGTGAATCCCTGACAGATCTCCAAGTGAGTCTGGGAGCTCAGGTAAGTGCAGGCAACACTCAGCGGGTCGGCATGACGGTCTGACTCGGTATAAGACGGCGTCTTGTGCCCTTTGAATTTTTATGCAGGTTTCTGCGCCGCCAAACTGAGAAACTGCAGCCTATCGCTGCGCAAGGAACCCACATCCTGATTATCTGCCTACGGAAGTGGGGGCGTGGGACGTAAAAATAAATGGCAAGGTTAAACACACACTTTTTTTTCTTCACGGCGAAACATCTGCGCTGCTGTTCATTCATCCCAGCGAGCTAAAAATAAGCCCCTGTACGCTAATCAAAATAAACAGAGAGGTCCTGAAGTGCAAAAAGGCATCTTGACTTCAACACAATTCAGGTAACTCTGGGAGTGGAAGAAGTGGGAAAGGTAAACGGCCCAGCTCTGCTTACAGGTTGCCAGGGGTCTTCAGCCTTGCCCTGCAACTAGCTGGTTGCACACATAATAATAATAATAATAATAATAATAATAATAATAATAATAATAATAATTTATTTCTACCCTGCCCATCTGGTTGGGTTTCCCCAGCCACTCTGGGCGGCTTCCAATAAAAGATTAAAAATGCATGAAAAGATCAGTCATTAAAAGCTTCCCTAAACAGGGCTGCCTTCAGATGTAATAGTAGTAATAATAATAAAAAATAAAAAATAATAATTGTTGAACTATGGAACTCCCTGCTTCAGGAGAGATGGCAGCAATGCTTCTGAGTAACAGCTGCTGGAAATCCTGCAAACTATTGTCAGTCTGACCTTGTAGCCTTATAGTCCAGGGTCAGCTGCGCACAAGGTTCAAATCATCCACTGTTAGATCTACATCTCACCTCTTCTCCAAAGAGTACAAGGCGGCTTAGACATTTCTGCCCTTCTCTATTTTCTCCTTACAACAACCCTGTGAAGTAAGTTAGGCTGAGAGACAGTGACTGGGCCAAAGTCACCCAGTGGACTTTGTGGCTCAGTGGATGATTTGAACCCTGTTCTCTCAGGTCCTAGTCTAGCCCTCTAACCACTAGGCAACACTGGTTGACCAGACGGTATCCTATGCAGGTCCAGGTGTGCTAAACTGACACACAGGCCTATCCGGTATCTAGGACTTTCCCCACTGCAATCAGCTCTCCGACAGCACTAGACATCGAGAATTGGGACGGCTGCTTTTGCCAGGTTGCCCCAGAAGTGGGCAGCAAGTCTTCTCCTTGACATCTTTATTATGGGATGGTTCATCCTCATTTTGAGAACAAAGCTGATCCAAAATGAATGAGGCAACATCACATTGTTACAGGAACCCGCCATGCTTTGAAAGGTTTTAAAGCAGAGGTTGGGTGGTTGTCTGACGGAGTCCTTTAGCTGAGATTCCTGCATTGCAAGTTGTTGGACTAGATGCCCCTTGGCTTCCCCTTCCAACTTGATGGTTTTATGATTCTGTGAAATATCCGACATGGAAGTTGGAGCAAGCTTGTATTCTGCTGCTCCACAGGGGAGGACCCCAACCGTTGCATTTCAATGACAACCAAGGAAAGCAGAATTTGCTTTCTGAAAGTGAAAGACACCTGACATTGGAACAGGCTCCCTCTCCTTCCTTGGATGTTTTTCAACAGAGGTTGGGTGGCCATCTGTCACGGATCCTTTAGCTGTGATTCCTGCATGCTGGGGTTGTTGGGATGCGTCCGGGGAGACGGGGGCATTTGGCAGGCAAACTCCAGTTCCTGGAACAGCATCAATCAGCGACTTGAGCCTCCGAAACGTTCAGAAGCTGAGCATGCTCTTATCAGCAGAGTGAACAAATCTTCACAATGGAAGTGGTGGACAGAAACATGTGTGAGCATTATTTACAGGTGTTTATTCAGCATAGTTCCAGAACAAAGGAAAAACATGTCTGCTTCCCTTCATGTCCAGCAAAAAAGCATAGCAAAAGCAATATACAAACGGAAGTTCCCAGCAAGCCTGTGCTGGAAGTAAACAGGCATGTGACACACAACAATCTTGCCTGTTCCTTTTAAGGTGGAACGGAACTATGTCCTAACAGGGGGTTGGACTAGATGACCCTTGGGTCCCTTCCAGCCCAATGGTTCTATGATTCTAAGACCATCCTGGGCCCATTCAATCACCGCAGGCTAAAGCAGCACCTCTTCCGAAGAAGAACCAGGGGGATGCCAACCTGGCTTTCTTCTTCTTTGGCCAGGTGAAAAAGAGAAGCTGCAGAGAGATTTCTTCCTCCTTTCCTTCTATTGGGAAAAGCGCTCGCACTGTGCTCACATTACAGCCGTACCTTGGTTTTCGAACAGCTTAGTTCTTGAATGTTTTGGCTCCCGAATGCCGCAAACCCAGAAGTGAGTGTTCCGGTTTGAAAACTATTTTTGGAAGCTGAACATCCGGCAGGGCTTCCATGGCCTCCGATTGGCTGCAGGAGCTTCCTGCAGCCAATCGGAAGCCGCGCTTTGGTTTTCAAACGTTTTGGAAGTCGAATGGATTTCTGGAACTGATTCCGTTCAACTTCCGAGGTACCACTGTACTGTGCTGTGAAGTTGTTGTTTTCCTTGGTATTATTTTTATTATGATTCTTTGCATTTACATCCTACCCTATCCCCAAAGAAAATCCAGGGTATACTTGGTTGGAGTGTCGGACTAGGACTAAGGGGACCCGGGTTCAAATCTCTCCCTGGCCCTGAAGCTCATTGGGTGTCCCTGGGCCAGTCCCTGCCTCTCAGCCTCAGTTTCCTCACAGGGTTTTTGTGCAGGATAAATGATGAAGGGGAGAACTGCAAAGCCACCTTGAGCTCCTTGGAGAAAACAACAGGATACAAATGTAATAATCATAATCATAATTCACATCTGCTTCATGGGCATGTAGTGAACTTAGAATTGAACTATCAGCCAGTGGCGTAGCGTGGGTTGTCAGCACCCGGGGCAAGGCAAGTAATTTGCGCCCCCTAACCCATGGATTTGCGCCCCCAACCCATGGATTTGCGCCCCCTAACCCGTGGATTTGCCCTAACCCCAGATGTTGCGCCCGGTGCTGCTGGCCCCCCCTGCACCCCCCACGCTACGCCACTGCTATCAGCCCCCACTGAATTTCCATCCACTTTCTTTAACTCGAGGGTCGGTAGGTGTTAATGACAGGAACTCTGAGATGGCAAGAATTTCAGCATTTTGGTAACTTCTGAAATTCCTTGTTTATCTCAAAAAAAGGAGTTGGCTGGTTGCTGTAGCAAAAGCCAACAGAGAAGGGAAAATAACCGCTATGTTGACGTGAAAAGGGCAATTTTGCTCTTATATCCCGGGAGAAAGATGAGCCACAAGTAGTTTGCTATTTTATTTTATTTTTAAAAAATAACGCTTTGATCCTGAGGACTTACGAGAAAAGACATCTTGCAGAACGCAAGCGGCTGATGCCGCCAGATAATGGGCACCATCAATCATTTACTTAAACCCTGTGTCAGGATGTCCGAGACTTGAGAAAACACACTTCCTTTCGTTAACACTGGAAATGAGCCAAAACAACCTGAAGTGGTTGTTTTTCTTAGAAGCTGTGACTTTTGGGCAATTTTCCAGCAGCTCTGGTGAAAAAAGTTCCCTTTTTCTTTTTTTTGTTAGAATCGCCTTTGCTTGTCCTTGGCGATATCGCTGTGTGGCCAACCCTAATTGGCTAGGTTGTGCCGTGAACCCTGACTGGTTGGGACCATTCAGGTGGTTAATCCAGAAAGGAATAAGACGGGAATGAAACGATAGGAACATAAGAAAAGCCTGCTTGGATCAGGCCAATGGCCCACGTAGTCCAGCACTCTCTTCTCACAGCGGCCGACCAGATTCTCCAGTGAGAAACCCAAAATCAGGATTTGAACACAAGAGCAACGCTTTCCCTTCCTGCCCTTTCCAGCAACTGGAATCCAGAAGCATTGCTGCCTCCAACTGTGGAAGCAGAACAGAGGCATCCCGGCTAGTAGCTGTAATAAACGAAAATCTGCCCTTATTCCCTTATGGGGGACACAAGAGCCCTTTTAGAGTCCTTTGCAGGTTCTCCATCGGTCGGAGAAAAGAACAGAGGCCAAGCAGAGAATATCGAGAAGCAAAGCAGCCAGTAAGCCTGATCTTTATTAAACTGTTGCAACAGGGTCCTCACCCCCCACATGCAGGAGGGAGGAGGAACCTAGAAGAAAGGTGTGCAAGTCTTTATTTTATAGACTTTTGAAATTGCCCACCTTGGAGTCCAAGACCACCCCCAGAAGCACCATACCTACATCACAGAAGGGGTGTAGCTCAAGACCACCCCCCAGACATATCATACCTCCATCACAGAAAGGGCGATCTACAGCAGAAATCTGAGTGCATTGTTTACCTCCTGTGTGGCAGGTTACCTGTTAATGGTCACTTGGTTGGATACCCTGGGGAGCCTGGCCAGTCTTTTGTAGTGATGAATACTTAGTTCCTGAGCCAGGTCACAGGCTTACCCTATTCATACACAGACATACCCTTAAGACCAGTTTTGTGAATGACAATGGGGAGGCTTTTCCATTTTCCTTTGACCTTGGAGAGAAAATATTTGGTCAGTCTGGGAGCCAAAATGGTTCCAGGGCTGTTTTCCTGTGCTGCTTCAGACATGTGGTTTATATCTTTATGTACGTGTCTGCTTGGTACATTTATGAACATTTATTATATATATAAGACCTCAATTTATTTATTTCATGGCCATCGATAGCCCACAGCTCCTCCATGAATTGGCCCAATCCTCTTTTAAGGGCATCCAAGTTGGCTGGTCTCACAGCCTCCTGCAGAAGTGAGTTCCGCAGTTTAACTATGCACTATGCGAAGAAGTCCTTTCTTTTAACTGTCCTGCGTCTTCCGACACTCAGCTTGGACGGCTGGCTGAGCCAACAGCAGCCAGAGATATCGAACAGGATCAGAAAGGGAAACATCATCGCACAAGGCTAAGTATTCAGGGGACGAAAATTCCTATTGGAACAAAAATAGCTAGGATCTACTCAAAAACCCGACTCCGGGTGTCAACACTTCAGGGCTCACACGAGGCTGTGGGCACATCTTGGCA